GTGAGCAGTGGTCAATGAAGATCTCTCTGAGAATTTAACAGTTGAACTAAGAAGCAAATGATGTAAAGAGAACAAGTAATACAATTATTTTGGGGAAAAGTGTTCCATGTAAAGGAAACAGTAAATGTAAAAGCCTGAGGCAGAAATCATGTCTGAGAAATGGTAAGAAAGACAATATAGCTGGTGCAGAGTAGGTAAGAGAAAGAACAATTGAAAATGATGTCTTGTCAGGGGTCAGATCATTTAGAGCTTTATGAGACATAACAGGACTTATGACTTTATTTTTAAGAAAAATGAAAAGCCATTGGGGAGTCTTGAACAGGAATGGCATGATATGATTTAAATTTTAAAAGGATTCTCCTATCTATTATGAGATGAGACTGAGATAAAGCCTGAGTCAAAGGAGGGAAAACACTTAGAAGACTATAGTCTACGCAACAGATGTGGATGTGAAGAGATGTGGTCAGATTTGGAATGTATTTTGAATGGAGAGTCAACAGAATAGTCTCTTTATCTCCTCAAAGTCTCCATGTTTCTGAGGATTTGATCATGTTGTCTTTTCTAATAAATAAGAAAGATGACTATATCTTTTACCAACTTGGAGACCTAAGAATACCGCTTAAATTCTCTGACTTCAGAAGTCTTATCAGTAAAATAAAAATATCAACACTTTCCTTGCCTTTCTTACAGGACTGTTATGAAGGTCAAATGGGATATTTTACAGATGAAGCTTTCTAATTTTAATTTAGCCAGCCTGACAAATTAACAAAACTCTCCTTTTTCTTTGTAAAACACAGATTGATACTAATGGTTCATTGAATGCTTGAAACTAGTAAACTCTCTAGCTAGAATACTCAAACTCTCCTGTTCCCAGCTTAATTAGATGTGGGCCAGTTAACTATAGGGATGAATATATAGAGAGAGATTATATATATATATATGTATATAGATTACACACATACACACACGTATAAACTGTGTCAGATGATACATATATATATCATCTAGAGAGACCGGATACTTAGTTTGCTTCAAAAGCATATAAGTTCTTATTCTACTTTAAATAAACTAAAGCTGAAAATTATACATAATGAATTTGGGATGGTTTATGGAAGAGCGGTCCACACAGAACTCCAATCAGAGAACCAATACTCAAAAAAATCTTGGTTCGTTTATCAATTGCTTAGTAAATGGATGTATATTTATATGTTTTCAGTTAAAATAAAATGTGTAAGATATATATCATTATTAATGACTTTCTGTTGTAATGTCTTTTCAATTAATCAAACAACCATGTATATGCCGCTTCATTCCCAAAGTATATCAAGTGCCTACTACAATGGTTCTCAATACTGACTGTGCATCAGAATCTCCTGTGGGGCTTTTTTTAAAAATGCAAGTTCATAGGCCCCATCCCTAGAGACTTTGATTCTCTAAGACTGAGGTGGAGCTAGAAATCTCTCTTTTAGACAGAGTTGAGAACCACTGGACCACTATGTAAGTGAGCACTCTAAGAATGATAAGGAAACAAAATACAATTGCCTCCCAAAGAGTTCATAGTATAACAGTGACAGAAAAAAATTTTTTAATCACAATCTAGTGCTAAATTCACACTATAGGTATATGCCAGTTGCTACAGGAAAACAGAGAACAGAAAAAACAACTAAGTCTGCCTGGGGCAGGTAGATGAGGAAGGCGGTGGTCACAGCTGGTTTTATGGAGGTGATGTTTGAACTATGTAGTAAAGGGTAACTGGAAATTCTCCAATTATATTAAAGCTGGAAGAGATATTCTAGTCAGAAGCAATAGACTGAGAAAAGGCAGTGAGATAGGAGAAAATATGATGCTTTCAGGGAATGCAGTATGCTCAGGGGGTTGAGGAAATGAGGATGGAAAGGTAAACAGGAACCCCTTCTGAAGGTTCTATATACAGATCAAGTTAAGCAGTTTGAAGTTTATTATATACAGAGCAGTGGTTTCAAATTGTGTTTCACAGAATTCAAGTTCAGAAAAGGCAGTTAATGTATGTATTTCACAAATATCTGAACATGAGCATTCAAATGCATACATATTACATTTCAAACGGATTGTTGTAAACCAATGTATTAACTTGTTTTTTGCTGACCTTGAACAAAAAGTTCTTCTATCATTTCTGTTTTTGAACTTCTTATAGATGTGTCACTGGCTATAAAGGTTGTAGCTTTCTACTTTTACTTTTTTAAAGCTAACAAATGTCCTACTACTTGCCTATAGATAAAATTATACAACAAAAATCAAATATAATAACCAAGTTTTTTATTGATTAGCTGTATAATTTATTATTATAGTTTATTTAAAAAGAGTATGCCAATAAAGTATCACATTTATCTGTTTTAATAGATGTTATTTATTGGGATTTCACATAAGACTTTTGTTTGTAGAGCATCACTGCTCTAGGGAAACCAAGATAGAATTTTAAGTAGAGAAATGCATAATTAACATAATTCAGAAATAACCATTATTATAATAAAACAAATCGGAATAGGGTAAAACAAGAGGTGAGAAGATCAGTTAGGAAGTGATTTCAAAAGACCAAGCAAGAAAATATGATGGAATGAACAAGTCCTGGAGATGGTGAAAAGGGAATAAATTTCAGAAATACTAAGGAAATAGAATAGAGAGGATCTGATGACTGATCAGAAAATAGAGAGGAAAATGGTTTTCAAAAGGGCAGATTCTAGATTTATACTTTAATTTTGGGCATGTTGAAAAGGTAAAAGTACCCAGAAGGTGCCAACTGCTTAGTATTCAGAATAGAGTGTTCTTTGCAAATATAATCAGTGAGTCCAAATGAAGTCTCCATTTTAGTAACAGTTCTAATTTTGGAATTTCTTAATCCATTTTTATATATTTTATTATAGTCTAGGTAACCTAAAGTGCAGTCATATAACCACTTTTCTAAAATTAACTATATTCCTATCCAAAGATACCATAGTACTTTGCCCATTTAGTGAGATTTCAATACTATTAGTGTTCAGCTTATATAGCTATCTATCCTCATAATTTCCTCAAAAATTGTTACCTAATATTATTATAACCCACTGGTTATAGTCATTCCACCAAGAACAAGGTGATTTTAAAACTTTAACAAAAATATAAATACACATTTTATTGCTTTTTCCATTTTATACATTGTCTTCTCCTAATTATCTTGTTTGATCTTCCAAATAACCCTCTTAGCTAAGAAAAGCAGAAATACTTATTACCATACTACAAATAAGAAAATCAAGCCTCAAGGCAGATAAATGGCTTGCACAAGATTATATAGCTGGCAAGTGGCAGAACTTTAAATAAAATACAAATTTTCTGGTTCCTAAGCCAGTGCTCTTCTTACCATGCTGTATGCTTTTGAAATAGTATTTATTTAACTTCTGCCACTTTTGATGACTATCTCTTATCTGAATAAATAGGAAGATGACTATATACCCTATTTTCCTCTCTTGCATTCACCTCAACAGCCGAACGCATTCTGTTTCAGAAGCCTATCCTTTCTTTACCAGTTTTACCTCTACTAAAACTCTCCTGCATCACTATCACATTCACGAACTGAGAGAATTTGGAATTTTTTTCTGAATCTTGGAATGGAAAAAGTAATATGTCAAAGATTAGAGAATCAGGGCATAATTCCCCTGCCTAGCAGTTCAAATTTGGCCTCCAGGACCTTTTACATATTTGTCTCCTGACCACTGTTAAGCCCCTCCCTAAGGTGACGAAATATCTATTATTTCAAATTTAGGACAAAATTGTATTGTACACAAACCTCCCAGAGTAGGTTAGAATTAATCTGTTTATCTAATTCTAAATAAACTATTTTTTATGTAAACTAATTTATAATATTTTAATGATTATAGATTTAATGTTTTTATAATGACCCTACTGGGAATGGAGATTAAGGCATAATTGAAACATCTCATTATACATAATTTGTTTACTACAAAAATAATAATTTCAAAAAAATTTTTGAAGTACCAACAAATTTAATACTTAATTTCTGTTATTTTAAAAATGTACTATTTCTTATTTATTCAAACACATTTATAAAACCCTAATTATCTGTATCATATGAATGTATCATATGAACTACATATGAGTGAATCATGTTTAGATTTTATTGCACATGGCAGGTCTAAAGTACATTTCGAGGCTATGCTAAAAAAAAGACAATAAAAATTGTAAACCACTTTACATCAGAAAATGTAACAATATTTCTAGATATTAACATAATATTTATTTTGTAAACCCTCATCTCTCACACCAGAAACTCTTTTGCTTACTCATTAAAAGCTCAACATTAAAGTACAATTACCTAAAAGGTTTCCTCACTAAACCTGAACACAGGCTATTTTTGAGTTCTGACAAGTATTACAAGTTCTTACAAGTATTAAGCCCATGACATCTGTTTGTTTCTTTATTTAAGAGTTTAAGAATCTGGTGGTGTTTTTATTCAGAATCTTAAACAACGAATTTAAAACAATGCCGTTAGATCTTTTTAAATGGATAGATTCATCTAGCTATTATCTACTTAATTCTAGCAACATCTTAATAGCTTTAATTATTTTATACTGAACAGTGAAATAAAAAACAATTAGTTTCTCTGAATGACAACACGAGATTAATAATTACAGTTTCTTCCTTCAGTTTACTACTTATACATGAATATTACATTAAAATTTTGTCCACTGTTGGGCCTTAACATTATCTTGCAAATTCTACTTTTTCTGTTTACCTATTTCCCCCTTAACTAAAACTACCATTGCTTTGAAATTGATGCTGAAGTTGATGCCTATAATGTCTTTATTAATTCAAACTGACCTATCCACAGAGTTCCCTGCACCAGACTCTGATTCTGGCATCTCAACAATTTCCAGTCCCTGGTGGGGTTTTTTTTGTTGTTTAACCCTTCTTTCCTTACAACAGTAAAACGAAGAAATAATAGGTGTTAAGCCAATTCAAAAACTTACCTTGCAAATCTGGAAATACTCCGAAGTCAGGGTTTCCTGAATCTCCTCTCTGAGAATCCCCGCAGTCCCTCCTGTGTGCACGGAACCACTTCCAGCCCCACCACCACTGTTAGTGCCACTGCTGCTACCACTGCCGGGGGAGGAGGCAGTTAAGCCATCCAAAACTTTTCGGAAATTAAACTTCTTCATTTTAAAAAACTGTTGAGAAAATCAAAGGAAAAGGTGACTTAACACCTGGAATTATACCTGGGTAAAAGTGTTTAGCTTTTCATTAGTCAAGGCAGTAGCCAGTCCCCATTTTACGAGCATTGGCTATAAATGACTTTAAAAACAAAAATGAGCCTTCATTTTGTCAAATTTTAATTCTAAAAAGCATATCCTTCCAAAAAAAAATAATAAAACACAATTCCAAAAGCCATGGTCTTTGCTCCTGGTACATCAAATTTTCAAGGGCTTTTTCCCCAGCTGTAGCTACGCTTTATCAGCACTGGGGTAAAAATAAAAGGCAGTGTCATCATCGTCATTAGCATTATATCATCATTATTATACAATCAAACCAGAGTCCGACAGACCAAGATTCTGTCTCTCTTAAGGGCGGGCTTTCCTTCTAAAGGTTCAGCTCAGAATATTTTATTTTCAGAAAAACGATGTTGGAGCCGGGAGCCGCTATTTACTCCGCCACTACCTTCTGGGCTCTCCCCCCTCATCTTCAATGTTCCTTTTTTCTCAATAGGAAATGAGGGGCCCTTCTTCCATTCCCCACTCCCCAAGAGCCCGGACCCCAAAGCATCTCCGGACGACCCACAGCAACAGCCGACGAGAGGGGCGAGCGGCGGCGCCGGCTGCCTCCGCTTCTCCCTCCGCCTCCCGCTTCCCTCCCCGCGTCTCCAGCCCCCTCCCTCCTCTCCCCTCCTCAACGTTCCTCACCCCCCCACCCCCCGGCCTCCCGCGCCGCTCTGCCCGCAGCCGTCGCCGCGCTCGCCCGCCGTCCGCTCTCCCCGCAGCACAGCGGCTGCTCTTGGGGGACGTGAGGCAGGGGCGGCGACTGCTGCGGCCCGAGTCCCGCCTCAGTCTGCTGGGCGTGCAGAGCCGCAGCTCCCGCCGTCCCTCCCCGGGCCGAACGCCGAGGCGCGGGGCTCTCGCCCGCGGGCGCGCGAACACACAAACACCCTCACACGGACGTTCGCGCGCCCAGCCGGAGCACACACAAACACCCTCACACAGACGTTGGCGCGCGGGCGCTCACGCTCACAGACACACACACAGGTGTGAGGAAGCCGCGGCTGGACAGCGGCGTCGGCGTCCCAGAGGTATGACTATCTGACTCCCGACTTAGGCACCTTCCTCCACCGCCACTAGCCGCCTGCCAGCCCAGGAAGCTGAGGGAGCGGAGGGTGGCGGGCTCGCAGGCGTCGGTCCAGCCTGGCTCCGGCCGCCTCTCCAGTCCCTCTGGTCACGGCGCCCGGCGCTCTCCGAGGTCCTAACCGAGCAGGCAGCCTCCACCGCAGGCTCCGCCCTCCCGCCGTGGGAGGCAAGCCCCGCCCCGAACCGCCCCCTTGGCCGCCCCGCCCCCTCCTTCCCGGGCGGCCCGGGGCCGGCAAAAGGGGCGGAGAGCACCGGGACGTCAAAGGGCGGGAGCAGCCTCGGCTCCAATCCTAGGATCCACAGGGCCAAGTTCTGCGGTCGCGAGGCGCGGGAGAAATTGGGGATAGGCCGAAGAAAAAGCCAATGAAAGGAAGAGGGGAGAATTTAGAAAGGTAGGTGAAGTATTTGATTGACAGCGGTATTGGCCAGTATGCTGGGGGGCCGTGCTTTGGGGGTTGTAATTGGCGCTACCTGTTGAAGGACGCAAGTGTGAATCAATAGAATGCCTGGAAGCGTGCGAACTTGGGCTCCTTGAGTCCGAGGTTGCAGGAGGGTTTCCCTAGGTCAGGCGCTGGACAATATTGTGAACTGGGGAAGTGTTTCGCAGTTTATGCCTATATGAGCCTCTTCCCGCTCTCCCAGGTGCATCTGTTGGGCTCCCCTCACTGCCCTGCTGCTTGCATAATGGCTTAACGGGTCACCTCTGCCAGAGAGAATTGTGCTTCAACAGAGTTTTGGAATATACAGCCTTCCAGATACTAAGGAATTAATTGCTCACCGTGTTCCCTCTAATACGTAGAATTACCCCTTCCCTCTATTTTCACATATACAAAGATTATTTTTTCTTTCTCTCACTTAGTAAACCGTGTTAAGAATATATTTTAAGCTTTTTCTGTGAATCACAATAATCATTTTGAAAGATGCACTGTTCGGTGCAGGATTTTTTAAAAACAGCGTCAGGATGGGAAGATTTAGTTCTGATCTCTGACTCGCTACTGAGTTGGGCAAAATCTATACCTCGATTTCTTGATCTGTGAAAATGAAGGGCAGCTCAGAGGGCCATAGCTAGCTGTAGACTTCAGTCCGGGCAACACAACAGAGCTCCTTAGTAATCATCCCAAACGTTCTTACATTTTAGAAATCTTCTAGGATGACCTCTTCTTTTTTCTTTCTTTCTCTCTCTCTCTCTTTTTTTTTCTGTTTGTTTGTTTGTTTGTTTTTTATGGAGGAAAGGGATGAGAGAAATGAAAGGGGAGACCTGAAAGAGAGAAATGAGTTGCCCAAGGTCACATAGCGAGGAAATGGCAGAGACAGAATAGAGCCCAGTTTTTTGGATCCTCAGCTCAATGCTCCCTCTCTCCTTTTGAATTTTTCAGTACTTAATGTCTATTTTACTCCTTTTGAGACCTCTCAAAGACCCCCAGTACTGTCTGGTAGTCTCTCATTGGCACAGCTAGACAGTAACACTCTTGAAGGCAGACATAGAATTGTGTATTTCTCCTATCTTGTTTAGCACCTGGCACACTGTTTCACATATAAAAGGTAGTTAAAGGGTTTTGAACAGTTGGTTTATTAATGGTTTTTAGTAAAAGATTTATGGGATGATACCCAATTATATCCTGTTTGGGAGAGGTAAAGATAAGGGTGGAAACAAACACCATGTCTAATGTAAACTAGATCTTGGTAGGGTTCTAAATTCTATTGGATTGGCTTTCTAACAGTATGTATCTTTGTCTTTACTCTCTTTTCCACTTTTTTCTTCTCTTCCTCCTAGCCCATTTCACCTCCAAGCATGGGTGCCTATTAAGGCTAAAGAGGTTTGCTTTCCTCTTTTTTAAGTCTGGCTTTTCTTTTAAAAAAAAAAAAAAAGATGAGGGAGGGGGGTTGCTCTAACTCTTTGAGTAGTAGGCATTGTTGTCTAAAATAATGGGTTTAGATGTCTTCCTTCCCTTCATCAGAAAGTCTATCAACAACTTCTTAATTTTCAAATAAATGGAAACAAGCCTATACCAAGTGGTAGTTTGGTTTCTTGATGAGAGTGATTCAGCAAAGTGAGATGTAACTTTTGCAAGAAAACCCCTTAAACCATCCAACATTAACACTATACCAACTTAACAAACTAAGGAGTGGTTTTTATTCTTTAAATTGAGAGAGAACTGAGAAGGACAAGTACACAAAACAAATTGACAGAGACTCTGCTTGAGGACCCTAGAGGGAATTCATTGGCCTACTTGAGTTAAAAAGAGGTAACAGAGTAGATCTCCCTTCAGATGGGACAACAAATAGGAATGAGAAGTAGAAGTAAAGCCAAGTGAAAGTATATCAATGCTTTCAAACAAATATTAGAAAACTAAAAAAATAAAATATGATTAGGCTGACATTTTGGACTCTTTGGGACTATTTTAACTATCTTTGTCCCTCCACAATAGATAGCACAGTACCTTACATATAGTAAGTGCCCAGTAAATATTGATTTGAACAAATGACAAGTAAAAATCTTAACATAATTTCAGTCTCATAGAGAGAGAGAACCTGTGGACAGAGGATATTGTGATGCCAATTCACAAACTGAGAGGAGGATACAAATGAGCAAGAGACAGAGTGCATTATGTATGTGAGGAGACAGCATAAACTATAGCCTAAAAATCTTAAAAGGTAAGAGCAGTACAATGTGTATGGAAGCAAATTCCATCCTTAATTAATTAAAGAGAAATAAGATGTTATTTTATAAACCATCTGGTAAAGGGAATGAGTTCAGACCATGAAATATACCTTATAAATAATCTAGGGAATTTTATAATTAGGTCAGATAATAATACTGGAGAGCTTTGATCATTCTACTGCAAACTAGAAGAATGCCTCATGGAGAGGAGTTTCTGATAAGCCATGATGTCTTCCTAGAATGAAGAATTGCAGTTCTTCCTAAGCATGATGAATTGCAAAAAGGAAAAATAGCCTAAGCTTGGTTTTGGGACAGAATCATTAAATCATTTAAATAAATCCAGTACATTGGAAGAATTTTTAGAATATATGCTAAAAATATATTACAACTCACTTTAAGGGATTATGATCTTGGATTCAAGCCAACAATGAAGCTAATAGAAGCTGCTTTTCCACATGCAAAAAATAATCAAATAATTGTAGAAAGTATGTACATGTGTGGCACTTCACACAGAGAATATTTGCTTAACTGACTAGACTTGGAGAAATCTAAGCCAAAGTGACAAAACACGTGTAAATGGTTCATCATATATAAAGATAATAAGTTCTATTAGTTATTCAGATACTATACTATGAAATTTACAAGCATCTCTTTTAATTTTATCTTTATTATAACTCTATGAGATAAATGTTGTCCCCATTTTATAGGTGAGATTTGAGACTCAGAAACATTTGAGAAATTCACTCATGGTCACTTAGTTAGATAACCCAGTCTTCAAATTCAAGCCTAACTTCTATGTTAACATCTAAGATCATGCTCTTAATCACTGCCCTAATACTAATTAGAGGACTAAGTAGGACCTGAAATAAGAAAAAAGCAGGGGTCAATTCTTCTGAAACAATGAGTATATGTTGTATAGTAGTGAGCATGTCAGTTGGCCAGGGCTGCCATAACAAAATACTACAGACTGGGTGGCTTAAACAACAGAAACTAATTTTCTCACAGTTCTGGAGGCTGGAAGCCCAAGATCAAAGTGTCCTCAGGTTTGTTTTTTCTGAGGCCTCTCTCCTTTGCTTGCAGGTGACTTTCTTCTTACTGTATCTTCACATGGTCTTTTCTCTATGTGCCCAAATTTCCTCTTTTTATAAGGACATCAGTCAGATTGGATTAAGGCCCATCCTAATAGCTTCATTTTAACTTAATCACCTCTTAAATGTACTATCTCCAAATACAGTAACATTCTAGGGGTTGGGACATCAACATATGAATTCTGGGGGGGGGGGGCACAACTCACAAAACCATATGGTAATCAAATTCAACATTCTTTGAGGAGAGCATCTATTATGAGCTGAGACTGTGTAAACAATTTTCCATTTAGTTTCTCATTTAATCCTCACAACAATCATGTGCGGTAGCTATTGATAACTCCATTTTATAGGTGAGAAAATGGAAGCAAAGAAAGGTTAAGTAGTATGCCCAACATCATACATCTAGTAGGTTGTGAAATAGGAATTTGGACTCATATAAATTGTATCCCAAAGCTCTTTACTTATGCTATTAGATTTCTTTGGAGACACCAAAGAAATCCCATTATACAGATATTTGATATTAGAAAAGGAAATTATTACAAAATCTAAGTATTAGGATAAAACAGACAGAACAGAAAAAATGGAAAATAGCTGCTAAGGAGTTTGGATACTAGAACTAAAAAGACATTTGGGAGTCGGGAGGACTGAGTACTAGAAGCAGAGAACTATTGAGATGGCAAGCTAGTAAGAGGTTCTTATCACACAAGAAATCTCACTATAATTTGAAATATATTAAGAGTCCCAGGGGACTATCCCACTAAAAAAGAAGAAAATCAATTATTCAATAACTAATTAGATGTAGCAAGGCAGTACTAAATCGCTTAGAGAGGCTGTAGTCTCAGTAAATATCAGAACCGCTGAAAGGAGAATTTGGGTGGAGGGGAGGGTGATGATGCAAGACTTACCATAAGGCCAGGCTGGCAATTATTTACATTAGCAAGTGTGAACATTTTCAGTGTGCTTCCTGTGAGTTAGTGGGTCTTAGGCTGAGCAACCTAATTTATCACCCACTTCTGACTCCTCAATCAAGTTATAGCACCATCCTTTATTATTTGCCATTCTGGGAGTTAGAATTTCACTAAGGAAACACAGTTGAAAAATAGGTTCCACCTGTATCCTTTCTGGTAAAACTTTCAAGAGGCTTAGGAATTACCTTCCTTACTAAATCTTCATCTGACTTTTTTCTGACTCTATTATACATCCTTCGGGAGGGGTGCTGATTGATCATTGTCAGCTTTCTGTCATATGGCAGGAAATAGCAACCAGCATTAAAATCTCTTATTCAGCCTACTCCAAGCCCACAAAGGGAGAGACCACAGGGTTAATTAAATAATGTCATAGCTCTCAGGGGTTTCCGATAAACAGCCAGGGGTCATTAGGATTGACCCAAAACATACAAAGTATGGCTCAGCACACAGT